TATATATGAAAAGTCGATACAACAGACAGAGACAAAAACTCGGAATCTCAAATCGTTAGATTAAAAAGTGAGGTTATTGTTCAGTTGTCAAAAGATCGTCAAAATGAAAATAAAAACAATAAAATTCAACTAAAATATACTTTGTGTTCAACTCCAACTAGTCCTATTATGGTATAGGCTATTTAAATTTACCTTTATGGAAAAAGGGAAAGATAATTCAATTTCAGCAATGGTGCAATAGATCTATTGATGGAATGCGATTTATAAGAAATTAAAACAAGAAAAAATAATCTGTAAGTAATTTATAGTTTAATTACATGATATTACTGTTATATTTATTATATTAACATTTTAGTACAATTGATAATAGAAAATATGGAAGAAGCTGGTGAAGTGCAAGCAGAGATTTATAAACAAATCCTAAAACATCTGGTAAGTTATTAATATTGAAAATTAAAAATAACATTAGACTGTCAGTAATAACAAATATGTTATTATTCTAGGGCTTCTCGTAGTAAAGAAATAGGTAGGATAGCATCAATGATAGTAATTAAGGTGAGTTTTTATTTTATAAAATAGATAAATGCACTTATACTTTTGTCTTAATAATAATAAATGAATAGCACCTATAACAATTGATACATTTACACATTATATGCACAAATTATTTAATAAGAAAAATGTAATAAAAACAATTTTGTCTTATTACTTTTATTTTTAAGAACTCAAAGTGATGGAACTTCAAAAAAAAATAAAAAATAAAGGAAAAATCTTGTCTGAACAAAGTTGAACTAACTGGAATTCAAAGGACCACAACACAGGTGTTTTAGCAAGGCTTACCTAGAGAGTTACTTAAAAAACAGCATGGAGAAGAGATGTACCGTATGATCGAAAAGAACGGCGTCAGCATTGGCTATGAAATAAAGATTGCTGTCATTTCATATGTAAATTTATATGGGAAATATCATCGATCGTCATTTCCCAGCCAACTGGACGCCGTTTTTTTTTCGATCATACGGTATAAGGTACACAGTGCAAGAAATTAAACTAAAATTGTAACACAAAAGAAATAAAAGCAAATGTGAGTTGAATAACAGGTTTTATAGGGTTTCTGTAATAATATTAATGAATTAAGATATGCGAATTAAAAATGAAATAGTTGGATTTAAAAAGTTTTATTTATTCTTTAGAGCTTTATTAAAAACTAGTTGAAGCCTGGCGCATCCGCCACGACATCAGGAAAAAAAATACTTTTTATTTTTTTTTTAATTAAATGAAAAACAAAAAATCCGGCGACGACCGTTTTTGGAAGAGCCAATTAGCTATCTTTTAGTAAAAAAAGCAACTTTTTAGAGCAAGTCGTTACTTCAGTAGAGACGACACAGATAAACATTAGCATTTTATATAATATGTAGATACGTAATGGGTTATAATTGAAAGGATTTAAATAAAATAATTTATAAATTACTGTTTTATCACTATTATCCTAACTTAATGCGTTCTCTTCGTTCTGATGCTCTAAGAGAACAGAGACTCTCTTTATTTTGTAACAGTCCTTATAAAGTCTGGCACTAGCAACAATAGTTTTTTGCACCATTTCAATGTGTTTATTGGTGTTTATACCCCATATGTTCTAAAATGGTTATAGCCTACATACTCGGAATAGGTAAGTTTTTTCCAAATAATCTAAAATCGAATTTATTGGAATAAACGAAATCTTCAATAATAACAATGTCTTGGTTATGTTAAGCAATTTTGTGAAATATCAAATAAAATCAATATCTCCTCATGTCTTTGCTCATGCGTCAAATTTTTATCCGACATATAAAGCACTATTTGGCAGTTCAGGTCCCAAATAGGATATCTGAGGGATAAGGTTATTTTATCTAATAGATATTGCTATCTATAGGTGAAGATACACGTTTTTCTGCTATCTATCAAATAAAATATATCTGACGGATTATAACGCGCTATCTGTATCTGAAAACACCGGGGGTAAGTGACATTAATAATAATTATCTTTATAACAAAATTAATATTTTAAAACTATATTTGACAATGATAAATCATAGGTTAACAATTGAATTGATTGTATGTTGACATTTGCCTGGCTTTGCACTGTTACCTAAATTTTTGACCATAGTGCGCAATCAACAAGCCTCGGCTTAGAAGCAATTACAAAATGTGCCATCAACACAAAAAAGAAGAAAAAGTGTTGGTCAATCACACAGGCCAACATGAATGTCTTTTACAAAACTGTAGAGAATAAATATTTTGACTTTGTGAATGACCTTACCATCGCATTGAGTACAAAATTAAAAATGTTTGTTGGTATGTTATAGCAGGCATCAATAGTTGCTTTTCCATACAGAATATACCGGGTGCGTCTCAAAAGTGGTTCACCCCCTATTACTTTTTTATTTTTTCAGATAAAAAAACGAGGCTTGTATGTTAGTATATGACATAAATCAGGATTGATTGACGTATTCAATTGTTTTTGGTCACTTCCTGTTTCACCGAAAATGACTACAACTTTTGATTTTTAAATGGCACTCTCGGTATTTTTTTTGCTTTATTCGATAGAAAATGACATTTTGAATAGAATGACACATCATATATCAACTTTTGACATTCTCGCTTAATAAAAAATCGTATTTTAAAATTCAATTTAGAGTACCATGGCTATGTTAAAAACACTAATCCTTAATCAAGGAGCCTTGGAAAAATAGATTTGATCGTCTAATGTTTTCAGTGTCTTGTCCTGGCCAGTTACAGAAAATGCTCAAATCGTATTTTAATCATATCTCATTTTTTTCAAATGGAACGAGGGTGGCTCATTAGCATATTTGGAAAAAGCATTTTTTACGAACAATTTGATTTTTACGAATAATTGGAGTCAAATTTTCGTAACGAACCACAAGTTATAATTTCAAATAAACCATATCCGAAAATGTCAAAAGTTGACATATGATATGTCAGTGTATTCAAAGTGTTATTTTCTATCGAATAAAGTAAAAAAAATACCTAGGGTGCCATTTAGAAATCAAAAGTTGTATTTTTTTCCGGTGAAACAGGAAGTGACCAAAAACAATTGAATACGTCAATCAATCCTAATTTATGTCACAGACTAACATACCAAATCTCGTTTTTTTAACTGAAAAAATAAAAAAGTTATAGGGGTGAGCCACTTTTGAAACGCACCCGGTATTAGTGGTGGGCAAAACCGTTATTTTTAAATAACGGTTGAAACTGTTACTGTTATTTATATATAACAGCTTAAAATAACAGGTCTCCGTTTATTTTTTTACTTTAATGTTAAACACCTAAAATATCATACGCATTGTCCAAATTGTAGTAAAATCATAAAAATCTTCATATTTATTTCTTAATAAAAAATAATGTACTTAAAATATCAAATTTATAAGCAAATTAAACTCTGTTTTAATTTTTAGGACATGTTTATTATATTATTAATAATTAAGAAAATAATTATTAAAAAAATCAATATTACTAATTAAAAAAAATAATGAGCTTAGACAGTTTTTATTTATTTAAGTAGTTGAAAAGCACTTAATATTTCTAATCACCAAAGTTCTAATTCATTTAATAACTAAATTTCTAATCATCATTCACAATTTCTTGATATCATTATTGGTGACAGGCAAGTAAAATTGTCTTTGAAAAGTTTTTTTTAAAACGTAGCAAAAACAATGAAAGTTTTAAATATGTATAAAAATATTAATAAAAATAACTAAGGAACTGGAACATAATAACTAAGTTCTGAAACCTCAACTGAAACTTACAAAACAAAAACTTTAAAATGTAGATAAATATATAAAAATAAATTTGCAGAAAGCAAAATTGTAAAATAAACTTGCTCAAAGGATTCTAATAACACAAGCTTAATCAAGACAATTTTCTTTAATTCAGTTATAATTAATAATTATTTTTATTTATGATGCATTATTAATGCCAAAAAATACCCAGAAATCCGACAAAATAAAACCACTTTCAAACTATTTTACGCAAAAAAATATGTATTAAAAATTAAATAATTGAATTCTAACGCCACCGTACACCGCGATCGACCCACACAGGCGAAAAAGCTATTATTTTCCAACTGCGCTTATCTCGACCGCCGCCCGTTATGCTCGTAACAGGTTAAAAAACAATGTATCTAAAACAACAGCTTATTTTCTATACGTTATTCTCCAACCTGTTGCGGGCCCATCATCGACAATCGACCGATACAGCAGCGTTACTTTCCCACTCCGGTTACCTCAACCGCCAGGCGTTATGCCCGCAACAATTGCAATTGTTTTAAAAAGCTGCTTACTGGTATTTTTAAGCTGTTGTTATTGTTTAGAAGTAGCAACGGTTGCGTTATGTTATTTCCAAATAACTGTTGTAAAATAACAGATAGTTAAATAACAACCCATCTCTACCCGGTATATAGTCAGGTCAGACCAAGGAGACAATATTACGGGGTTCAATGATTTTCGGCGAGAGAATACTTACCTGGAAATCTCCTTAACTTGAGACATTCAAATTTGTATTTAAATTAAAGAAAAAAAAATGTTGTGAACCAGTTGTTTTAAAATCTCTGCATCAGAGTTAATTCTAAATAGTTGTCCGGCGAATGTGAATATAATACTACATCTAAAATGAGAGAAAAATTCAGTTCTAAATTAAAATGGCAGACAGAGTAATGAAAATAAGTCTTGACAGTTTTTCTGTAAATAATGCTGCATTTGATCGTTTTTTTTATTATAATTTATAACAAAATAGTTTAATCTATCTTAAGTTAGATAATTTCTTTTTTATAATACGGTGTTTTTTCATTGATTAATTTGTCTTAAGTCTGCCTTTATTATAACTTATTTTTATGTAGAAATAAACTATCAATCTTTGACTCTGAACTGTGTTTCTGAAAAGTGAGAAAAATTATATTCTTTCGCCGGCCCAAACCTACAATAACTGAACAATAAATAATATCATACCTAATTCTAAATTCATTACTTTTACTAAAAACATCTTTCAGGAAATTTTGATGTTCAGCTTGCGATTTCCATGGACTATGCCGCACAGTTGAAGTTACTTCATTATTAAATGAATGGGACGGGTCATTTACAGGAGATGAAGGCTGTATATCAAAGTTAGGCTTCTAGTTTAAAAAAATAACATGAAGTTATAAATCAGGAAAACGGCGAGCTCATTTGAAGGATCCAGGAGAAAAACATAAGCGCCATTTTACTAATTTTACAGGAGAGCACTGGACGGCTGGCGGTTAACAGGTTCTTATTAACCTAACTTCCGTGTATTCTATATTCCAAAGTAGCATTTTTAGACACAAAATCGAAACAAAATCTCTGCTGAGAAACATTGCGAATTACAGAGATGATTTGTTTTAGGAATAAATGTAATAACAGCCACTACCCATACCCAACAAGAAGCCGAAGAAAAATGTTACCAGCAAACGTTTTTTTTTCTCTTTTTTCCACAATGGAATACATGTTTTTATGTTTTAATTGTGTTATAATAAGTAAATAAAAATGTTTTAATTATTTTGACCATAAGTTTTGATTGGCGTTGTTGACAGGTGAAATTTCAATACAGTTCAAAATTTCTACACAGATAGCGCTAAATCGAAACATTTTGGAAACAAGGTTTCCATTTATTGTCGATTCGTTTTCGGAACAGGAGTTTCTTTCGTTTTAGACACAAATATGATATAATGTAGATGATTTGCGTCCGACTCCATGTCAATTTTATGAAATCCTCTACCCACATATAGAAAAAATCCTTCCAGAATCGCAAACGGGTTTTCGCCCCAACCGTGGCACCGTCGATTCCATATTTTCCATCCGTCAACTACAAGAAAAAGTAAAAGGGCAGTCTAAACTTTATGTTGCATTCATAGATCTAATAAAAGTCTTCGACTCTGTGAACAGAGATGCGCTTTGGTTCCGGTGGTTCCATTATGTCTCTAACGTATCGGTCCTTGAAAAAGCTAACTGCGAGAGTACTGAAGTCATGGTTACAAAATCCCGCATAAGATGGGCTGGTCACGTATGCAGAATGCAAGAAAACCGCATACCAAAATCTCTGCTTTACGGTGAGCTTGTAGACGTTAAGAGGAGGCCGGGTGGACAACTCAAAAGGTACAAGGACATTTTCCACGAAAACTTAAGGGGATTAATATGCAGAATCATTGGTATAGTCTATAAAATGAATAACTTTGAATTTTGACCGTTATTTTTTACCAACATGGCAAATATAAAATACCTCTGTCAATAAAGTTACTGATATTCTTTAAATTGAGTGACTGAACGAATCAGATAGGTAACTCTTTTTACTTTCGTGAAATAGAAAAGAAAAATTATAAAACAAGTCACAGTTCTGCCTCTTCTTGCAAAAATCAACACGAAATGGCATAATTGTCAAAAGTCAAATGTCATCAGCTTTTGGCACTTCTAAATATCAGACCAATGCCGTCTCTAATAGAACAGTCACGGAGCGAGATTTATGACGTCACGCTAGTTAGATACTACGGATTAATAAATATGTTGTAGAATACATGGAAAACATAATTATATTCCTAGTGTTTTTGGTTTGTATTTTAAAAATGATATAGTTTACATGAAATATACATAATATACAGTTAATAAATAAAATATATTATATAGCTATTTATAGTAATAAATACTTTGGCAAATAAACTATGAACCATACAAATGCAGCAAATGTTTTACAATATACAAATAATGAATAGGTACATAAGATAATGGGTAAAATGTAAAATATATTTTAAATTTTGGTTAAAAAATCGATTTAATTTAACAAAAAAAACATTCAATATCTACTAATAGTGATGTTATTTGCATTCACAAAATTTATATGTACAGGGTGGGTCAAATTCGACGCTTTTAAAGGGAAGCACCCTTTTCTATAGGAGATAGGTGAAAACTAATATCGGTGTCTGGAGCTCAATTTTTATCAAAAATATGATGGTGAAAGCCGCACATCGATATCTGTTACCGTTTATAAGGTACGGGGTGTTTTTCAAAAATGTGCATTTTAAAAACCATTAAATTCTGCATAAAAAGATGCTTTGGAAATGTTTTCATAAAAAAACAAAATTTTCTATAGCAAAAAAGTTACAGCGATTTGTTAAAAATGCACATTTCTCAAAACACCCCGCAACTCATAAACGGTAATATATATCGATGTGCGGTTTTCACTGTGATGTTTTTTTGATAAAAATTGAGCCCAGACACCGATATTAGTTTTCGCCTATCTCCTATAGAAAGGATGTTTCCCATTAAAATCGTCCAATTTGACCCACCCTGTACATTGTGCAAGTATTAATGTTCGAAAAATTATATTTGCAAATAATACAATATCATAGAAAAAAAAGGCGTCAGAGATGGCTATGAGATAAAGATCGCTGTCATTTTATATGTAAAATTATTCTAAAATTTTTGATTTTCTTGGGATTTAGGTTAGGAAAAAACTGATGATTAAGTTGTCATTTGGTTTTTCATTATTTTTTGTTGGTTTAAAAAAAAAAAAATCATATGACACAGCACTGATTAAGGCTATAATGTTAGCCGAGACGTTTTTTTTAACCAAAAAATAATGAAAAACCAAATGAAAACTTAATCAGCTGTTTTTATTTATTAACTGTACCTGTATATTTTTAATTAAGCGAAAAGAACTTAAAATTACATTTCTAAAAATATAGCACACTTGATATTTTGTTATAGTCCCCTTCGAAATACAGAAGTTTTATAAGTTCGCCACTTTTAACTATGGTAGGCTTTGAACACCTTATTGATGATCTGCCCTTAATGGAATTCAAAAACATATTTTTTCCAGCAGCCCCAGAACGCTGAACTTATCAGCAAATTTTTGCAGCCAATTTCGAGAATAATTGAATAACTAACCAAGATTCCAGCCGTTGGCCGTCGAGGCCGCCGGACTTAGTGCCTGTTATTCTTAGTTGATTTTTTATCTTTGCGGAAGAATAAAGGTTCTTATTTTAAAATTGCCCGTATAATCTAAACAAGAATTAGAATTATTTAGCGGCTATGCGACGGTAACCCTCTGAGTTAATGAATTCTGCGAGAAATGTTCAAAAACGGTTCTGTCTGACCATAACAGAACATGTAGTAAAATCTCATGTCTTGGTTTGTTATTAATTTTTATTGCTATTAATCTTTTTTTCGGTTCAAAGCCAAGAAAAGTGGGCGAATTTTTAAAAACTCTATATCTCGAAGAGAAATCGAGCAAAATACCAAGTATGCTATAGTTTTGGAAAGGTAACTTTAAATTATCTTCAACTAATTAAAAATATACAGGGTGTCCCATATAAAAAATCAAATTTTCTGTTGATAATTCTTAAATTATTAATTTAAAAAAAATGATACTTAAACCATTAAATTCTGCATAAAAAGATGCTTTGGAAATGTTTTCATAAAAAAACAAAATTTTCTATAGCAAAAAAGTTACAGCGATTTGTTAAAAATGCACATTTCTCAAAACACCCCGCAACTCATAAACGGTAATATATATCGATGTGCGGTTTTCACTGTGATGTTTTTGATAAAAATTGAGCTCCAGACACCGATATTAGTTTTCGCCTATCTCCTATAGAAAAGGATGTTTCCCATTAAAATCGTCCAATTTGACCCACCCTGTACATTGTGCAAGTATTAATGTTCGAAAAATTATATTTGCAAATAATACAATATCATAGAAAAAAAGGCGTCAGAGATGGCTATGAGATAAAGATCGCTGTCATTTTATATGTAAAATTATTCTAAAATTTTTGATTTTCTTGGGATTTAGGTTAGGGAAAAACGCTGATTAAGTTGTCATTTGGTTTTTCATTATTTTTGTTGGTTTAAAATAAAAAAAAATCATATGACACAGCACTGATTAAGGCTATAATGTTAGCCGAGACGTTTTTTTTAACCAAAAAAAAATAATGAAAAACCAAATGAAAACTTAATCAGCGTTTTTATTTATTAACTGTATATATATTTTTTATATTAACTTATTTATATTAACTGTTTATATTAACTGTATATTATGTATATTTCATGTAAACTATATAATTTTTAAAATACAAACCAAAAATACGAGGAATAATTATGTTTTCCATGTATTCTACAACATATTAATCTGTAGTATGTAACTAGCATGACGTCGTAAATCTCGTTCCGAGGCTGTTCTATTAGAGACGGCATTGCGTCAGCATGGCCGCAAGTTGCTAATCTAATAAAATTAACACTAGAAAAACCCGCGGGAACTGTCAAATTCAAAGTTATTCGTTTTACAGACTATAAGAAGCAGTTCACAATAGAACTCAATGGAGAAGAATTGTAAACTCGGTTAACAGCGACAACCAAAAAGTAAAGAGGCAACAAAGTAGTGAGATTTTTGAATGTCCGGAATGGCGGTAGGCAAATAACATCACGCTTTTCAGTCACAGAAAAGCTCGTGAAAGAAAACGCCTTGCGTGACCATCTTTTGATGCGTGTCGAATACTCGTCAGCGAGTAATGGCAGTATAGTATTTATGAAATAATGAATTAAAATTCCGCCATGTTGGCTAGTAATAGTGTTTTTAACTGAAAATATATGTTTTTATGGGGTGTTGAGCAATTAAACTCATAAGAACGCGTTCTACTTCCATCGATTTATATATTTTTATTTTAAGAACCACAATATAGAAATAAAAATAAAAATCTATATTTCAAACAGAAATATTTTGTAGCAACAAATAATGGTATACAGGGTGCTACAAATTCGAGGTACAAACATTGGTATCTCGGCAACCGTAATAGATGCCGTCAAAAAAGTTTTAAAAATTTCAAGGATTGCTGAGTTTCTTGGAAAAAACGGAGACTGAGTTCTTTCAAAATCTGAAATAAAAAATGCAGGTCCGTATTTAAAAAAATTAAGTTGGCCTCAGTATCTCACAAATTATCAGCTAATTTGAAAATTTAAAAATACTATCAGATAGCCCTTGTAAAGTGGCTATGAGAATGTGCAATTAGTTTTTTGATTTTCTTAAAAGTAACGACAGGAAAAAATAAAATTAATTTTCAAAAAAATCCGTTTTTTCTAAAAAACTCAGCAATCCTTGATATTTTTAAAACTTTTTTAATGGCCTCTTGGTGAACATGCCAAAACGCAACTTTGCCCTAATTTAACCATGTTCGTATCTATTACGGTTACCGAGATACCAATGCTCGTACCTCAAATTTGTAGCACCCTGTATAGAAGGGGCATTAAAAATATGGAAGTACAATATTAAATCAGACGATGAATTTGCTTTTCCCAGACATTTTTTGTGCCAGAAAACCTAAAAACAAAGATTTTAAGACAAAAAATTATGGCGGATGTCGACATTGTTGATGGTTGTTTTCATTTTGAAATCCACACACAGACGTAGACTATTTTAGTTTGGTATTTTATTTCTTCACATTTAGAAACAGTGGCTGCTGAAAACGGAAACATCTTGGACACAAATTGCTGAAAATGTTTGGAAACATTTCCTCTAAAAGTTTTGATTCCGCATCGAAACATTTCAGGAAACGGCTAGTGCCACCACATTGGAAACACATGTAATAAAGCCATATTTTTTTTCCTATTTGTGGCATACCGTTTCCATTTTGTGTCAAGAAACGGACACAATTATTAGGAATATTACCTAAAATGTGTCTTAAAATGCTACTTGGATTGCTACTAGCACAGAATATCGAGCTACGCAACAGAAGCCTCGTTATATGTAAAAAATCGTAGGTCTCAAAAGGAGACAGACTTTTAAAGCCTGTCTCCAGATCAGATATTTTGATGCGGTAGTTTCACTACTATATAACAGAGGGCGATAAATTTAAAAGAAAACAGTTTTCTACAAACGAAATTTAAAAGAATTTTATGCAGTGTTGCCATTGTGTAATTTATATTGTAATACTTCCTGATAAAGCCTACGTTCAAATTTGCTAGATCATTTAAACATATTAAAATAGATTAGAGCTCTTTTTTCAAACGTTTAAGTATTTAACTTGCCATGTTAGTTGGAGTTAAATCTTACGAGCTGAATTAAAATCACTTTCTGACGTTTGATTCTAACTGAATCCTAAATTTTGATTGTAATTCGGCGACAATATAATAAGTATTGTTCTACTATTATGACACCACTTTCTGACGTTCGATTGTGTTCACACCGTATGATCGGGAAAAAACGGCGTTAGCGATGGCTATGAAATGAAAATCGCTGTCATTTTATGTGTAAATTTATATGGGAAATGTCACATCGATCGTCTTTTCCCAGCCAACTGAACGCCGTTTTTTTTTCGGTATCATTGACGGTATTTGATATATACTTGCGTATTTTTCATGACATTGCAATATTATGATACCATGAAGCATATCAAGTGATACCATATTACGATACATGGCGTTTGATTGGGCTTAAACTTGGTACATTTATATTACGTATCTTCAGTGACATTGTAATATTATGGTACCATGAAGCATATCAAGAGGTACCATAATAGTACCATATACGATACCATTTCCTGGCGTGCGATTGGACTTATACTTGGTATAGTAAGTATCTTCGGTGACATTTTAATATGATGGTACTATGATGCATATAAAGTGGTACCTTAATATAGTACCATATTACGATACCACTTCCTGACGTTCGATTGGGCTCATATTTGACTATACTTGCGTATTTTTGATGACATTGCAATATTATGGTACCATGAAGCATATCAATGGGTACCATAATGTAGTACCATATAACGATACCATTTCCTGGCTTTCGATTGAGCTTAAACTTTATATACTACGTATTTTCGGTAACATCGTAATATGATGGCACCATGGAGCATATAAATTGGTACCTTCTATAGTACTATATTATGATACCACTTCCTGACGTTTATTTATTGGGCTCATATTTGATATATACTTGCATATTTTTGATGACATTGCAATATTATGGTACCATGAAGCATATCAAGAGGTACCATAATAGTACCAAATACGATACCATTTCCTGGCGTTCGATTGGGCTTAACTTGGTACAGTAAGTATCTTCGGTAACATCGTAATGGTATGATGATGCACCTACTATGATGCATATATAAAAGTGGTACCTTCTATATACATATTATGATACCACTTCCTGACGTTTATTTATTGGGCTCATATTTGATATATACTTGCATATTTTTGATGACATTGTAATACTATGGTACCATGAAGCATATCAAGGAGTACCATAATGTAGTACCATATTACGATACCATTTCCTGGCGTTCGATTGGGCCCAAATTTGATATACTTGTGTTTCTTTATAAAGATTTGTTTAATTAATAATTTTAATTTATTTTACGAATTTTAATTTATTGTACGGATGTCGTGACAGCAACTTTTATGCCGAACTAATATATTATTAATTGTACCTGCGTCACTTTTTAAAATCTACCTAGGTATATATAAATAACATGGCAAACAGAAAAAAAATTGTTATTATAGTAACATTTTTTGTACTGCATTTTAATAAATCATTTCCATTATTATTAAACGTATATTTCATTACTAACGTTTCAGCATTAATAAATATCACTATCAATCGCCCTGTATATTATTAATTTTAAAGGTAATTAAAGTTATTTTTTTAGTTAACATAATAAAGTAGTGTATATTAAAAATGTATTTTGAGAGCATATGTTTTCTAATTTATTTTTTTATTTTTATTAATTTATTATAATTTTAAAAGCCAAACGAATAATTAATATAAGTGTATCTGACAAGAAACGAAGAATAGAAAGAAATTATTATACACCAGAAAAAGAATGGGATGCCAATTAAAGTCTGTTTGAATCTGGCAACTGTGCATATTTTGCCGAGCTTCAAGGCCGTCGACGTGCCGTCGATCTACGTCGATCCAAAACCGAAAGTTGAAAATTTCCAATTATATTCTGATTATGATATTGTCGCACCATCTAGTATTTTATTTGTGCAATTTTAGCTCTTTCATTTCGAGTATTTTTCTGTTGCGTAGCTAGATATTCTGTGCTACTAGGCATATATCATACGATTTAACAACTTATTGCCCTGCAGAGTTTATACATTTTGTAGAGACCAGTTAGACTTACTATAATATTCTAAGATCCTAAAATTAAGCAATTGGCGCTTATCAAGTTTTCCCCTGGACCCTTCATTTTATATATCTGCTAACTAAACTTCATTAATTACTTAAGTAAATACTTACCACTTCTTCAGATTCTAAATGTGGTAGGTCCAACACAATCAAATCATCGTCTTCGTCGTCGTCTATAAGTATAGACTGCACAGCTTGGCATGTTTCAACATGTTGCACTGCGCCAATAGATTTTCTATATCTATATTTTAGACCAAGTAAAGAAACATACATTTACTGAATGGAATACAATGTTTTAGTGAACAATTACCTAGTCGCTCTTAACTCTTCAATTGAAAATTCAGTTTGAGGATCAATATACACTCTATGCTTAGGATAACCATGCGTTACAGATGGACTGGCTTCGTCAGGATAATTTACAATTGCCACATGCCAATTTGAATAATCTTCTAGGCATTCCAAAGGCAAATTAGCCGGCAGTCCTACTAAACTTTCATCGAAATTATCCTCGTGGACTAAAAACGTGAATATATATTTTATGGTTATCTCAGTACACATAAAAAAATGTAATAAATAAGTAAAAGGTAATGTTTTTAGTGTAGAATAATTTAAAATGTGTACTTTTTTGATTCTAGTTCCAATCAACAATTTTTTTATGGATCACTTTAGTCAAGAGTTGGTTTATTTAACTCTAAGTCTATAAAGAGACACAGCCAATCTTAGTGCAAGCATAATCATATAAATATTGTACAGGGTGGGTCAAATTCGATGCTTTTAAATGGAAACGCCCTTTTCTATAGGAGATAGACAAAAACTAATATCGGTGTCTGGAGCTCAATTTTTGTCAAAAACATGATGGTGAAAACTGCATATCGATATCTGTTACCGTTTCGGAGTTACGGGGTGTTTTTCAAAAATGTGCATTTTTAACAAATCTCTGTAACTTTTTTGCTATGGAAAATTTTGTATTTTTATGAAAACATTTCCGAAGCACCTTTTTACGTAGAATTTAATGGTTTAAGTATAATTTTTTTTTAAATTAATAATTTAAGAATTATCAACAGAAAATTTTATTTTTTATTTAGGACACCCTCTATATTTTTAATTAACTGAAAAGAATTTAAAATTACCTTTCCAAAAATATAGCACACTTGATATTTTGTTATAATCCCTTTCGAAATACAGAATTTTTAAAAGTTCGCCACTTTTAACAATAATATAATATTAAATGCTTTGGACCCCTTATTGATGATATGCCCTTAATGGAACTCGAAAACATATTTGTCCAGCAAGATCACGCCTCTGAACGCTGAAGTTATCAGCAAATTTTTGCAGCCAATTTCAAGAATAATTCAATAGCTAACCAAGATCCCAGCCGTTGGCCGTCGAGGCCGCCTGACTTAGTGCCCATGGATCTAATCCTATGGATATATTTGCCGAAGAATAAAGGGTTCCTTATTCTTCCGTATAATCTAGACAAGAATTAGAAATCCTTAGTAGTTATGAGAGGGTATCTTTCTCCCCCACTGAGTTACAGAATTCCGTGAGAAATGTTAAAAAACTGCTCCGTCTGTCCATAACAGAAGACGGTCGATATGTCGAACACCTGTAGCAAAATTTTATGTCTTGGTTTGCTATTTATTTTTATTGTTATTAGATATAGTTTAAATGTGTTGTGATGTTGGTTAAATATAGTTTAAATTGTTATAAAATTCTGCATCTCCCATAGCAAATTTTATTTTCATTTTAATTGATGCTCACAGCTAGAATTTTTTGCATTACAGCCGGTGCTGTTCAAAGCCTACTTACTTAAAGCGGGCGAATTTTTATATACTCTATATCTCGAAAAGGAATCGAGCAAAATATTAAGTGTGTTATATTTTTGGAAAGGTAATTTTAAATTATTTTCAATAAATTAAAAATATACAGGGTGTCCCATATAAAAAATAAAATTTTCTGTTGATAATTCTTAAATTATTAATTTAAAAAAAATTATACTTAAACCATTAAATTCTACGTAAAAAGGTGCTTCGGAAATGTTTTCATAAAAATACAAAATTTTCCATAGCAAAAAAGTTACAGAGATTTGTTAAAAATGCACATTTTTGAAAAACACCCCGTAACTCCGAAACGGTAACAGATATCGATATGCAGTTTTCACCATCATGTTTTTGACAAAAATTGAGCTCCAGATACCGATATTAGTTTTTGTCTATCTCCTATAGAAAAGGGTGTTTCCATTTAAAAGCGTCGAATTTGACCCACCCTGTACAGGGTGAGTTTTAAGTAAGTGCAAATATTTTCAGGGCTGGTAGATCTTAATAAAAGAAACATATTTTCTTTTTACCGTTTTTCAAATTATTAGAGTTTCTTAGAGTTCTTTTACTTAAAACTTTTTTATTTCACTAGTGAAAAGGCTTTTCATTTCGTTACTTTTTAATTATACATTCCTATACCTAAAATAAATCGTTTTTAAGTTATTTAAGATTTAGTTTTAAAACGAATATTTTTCTTGAAAATTTCTGGCTTCCTTTGACATTAAGTGTCAAACAATCAGACAATTTATTTCCTTCTGACAGAAAAATAAGTATTTGAATTTCGTCTATTATTAATAGTGCTGCTTAAAACTTTATAAAGTGTATTTATTAAAATATATCTCATATTTTAGTGATATCTAATGGCAATATGACATGGCCAGATATAGTTTTACATTGCTTTACCAAACCAGAAAAGTATCCGGTTTAAAACTAAATCTTAAATAACATAAAAACGATTTATTTTAGGTATAGGAACATGGAGAATCAAAAAGTAATGAATTAAAAAACCTTTCCTCTAGTAAAAAAAAAATGGGTTTCCATTTGAAAAAAATGATTTATGATAATTTTCTAAGCAAAATAAAAACACTAAATCACCACAATACACCAAAACATTTTTACTTTTACACTGGACGCGCGTTTCGCTAACCATGTTAGCATCATCAGCAGATGATTATAAACTAAAGTACAATCTACAAGTTGAGCGTTTATATACTCGCCCAGTGGGCACCGAGTGGGCGTGGCAAAATCTAGCCAACCGAGTCAGAGCCCACTGAGCGTAACAGTTAGATTTCCGCCACTAGAGTAGTAGAAACAAAGAACTTGAAGGAATTCGACCGTTGACTCTGTTCATACTATCTTTACATTTATTAATTCTGATGCTTTCATATGCATCTAATTGCCTGTAATTTGAGACTTGTTTAATTGGTTTTAAATTATTAAGATCTATACAATGTTCTTTATCAACAATATGTTCGGCAACGCAAGATTTATCCGGTCTACCATATCTTATCTGAGCTAAATGTTCTTTAAATCTAGTTAATATTGATCTTCTAGTTTGCCCAACATATTTCTGATTACAATCTTTACAAGAAATTTCATAAATACCCGACCTTTCCAGTGGAGGTGTTTTATCTTTTGGATTACCTAATAATTGTTGTAATTTATTAATAGCACTATACACAAGTTTATAATTGACATTCTTAAAAATTCCTTTTAGACCACGGGATAACTCTCTATCAAACGGTATCGAAAAATATTTAGACGTATCTTTCTCCACTTGAAAAGTCGAATTTTCAGAAATCATTAACCTATACCTACGTTTTCTAATTAATTTATCAACTAGTGAAGGAGAATATCCATTACACTCAGCTACATTCCTAATGTAATCTCTTTCTATTTCATATCTTTCGTTGGAAAGTGGGAAACTAAGTAATCTATGAACTAAGAAATTTAAACTCGCCATTTTATGTTCAACACTATGTTGTGATTCATTAGAAATATATCTGCGTGTGGTCGTATTTTTCCTATAGATATTCTTCTCCAGTAGTCTTCTCCTATAGTCTTCAAATTCCAGGCAATTATTAGTATTTCTAATAACTAATACATCTAGAAATGGTAATCTGTCGTTGTTCTCAATTTCATGCGTAAATTTAATGGAAGGAAAACGATTATTTAACTTAGAAATAAAATTATCTATGGTGTCTGAATGTGTGTCAAAAACAGCAAAAATATCATCCACATACCTAAACTATACTCTTGGAAAATACTCAAACTGATTCCCAGCCTCCACTTCAAACCTGCTCATGAATAAATTAGCCAAAATTGGAGACAATGGATTACCCATTGCTGTACCTTCCCGCTGTTCAAAAAAGTTGTTATTAAATTGAAAACAATTTTGTTTCATACATAACGATGCAAGCTCAATATATTCACTCACAGTTTTGTTGTCGAGACCATTTGCGTTCAGTAATTCCTTCAAGTAACCTAAAGTATGTGGAATTGGAACACTTGGGAACAACGAAGATACATCAAAGGAGACCAAAATTTCACCTTCATGCAATGTTATATCTTTAATTTTGTTAATGAATTCAATATTATTTTTAACTGAGAAAGAAGGTTCATGATCAGGTAAATTTTCGAACTCCCTTGATAACCATTTTGCCAAATTATAAGTCGGAGAACCTACAGCCGAAACAATTGGGCGTATAGACTTGTCCGGTTTATGAATTTTTGGCAAAGCATACAATTTTGGTAATGAGGGATTGGATACTTGCAATTTCCTCTTTAAAGAAAGATCAATAAGGGTATTACATTCTTTTAGAGTTTTTTAACGTCTGCTACCATCTTAGACAAAGGATTCTTTTTCAAATTTATGTAGGGGCCATTATCGATTAAGTTGTTAACCTTATTGTAATAGTCTTTTTTATCTAATATAACAACCTTATTTCCCTTATCAGCTTTTAGATAGAAATAATCTTTGTTACGCAAACTCTTGACAATATCGTGCTCTTTGTTAGATTTTAATGAATTACTTGAAACGATATTTTTTGACAACTGATTTCTACAAGCCTCTCTTGTAAATACTTTAGAAGCCTCAGGCAAGTGCTGAATAGCAGTTTCAACACCAACGACGATTTCCTCCAAAGCGCTACCAGAGTTGGGCAATGCATACTTTAAACCTTTGTTTAATAAACTGAGCTCTTGTTTATCAAAAGTCTGGGAAGAAAGATTTTCTACTATGTTTATGTCTCTTTGGAAAACATGTTTGTTTTTCGATGTTTTCTTAACAAATTAGGCTAGATTTTGCCACGCCCCCTCGGTGCCCACTGGGCGAGTATATAAACGCTCAACTTGAAGATTGTACTTTAGTTTATAATCATCTGCTGATGATGCTAACATGGTTAGCGAAACGCGCGTCCAGTGTAAAAGTAAAAGTGTTTTGGTGTATTGTGGTGATTTAGTGTTTTTATTTCGCTGTGTAACACCAAAGGTTCCAACCCTCAACTGTAATAATTTTCTAATCTCTCGATTCCATGATGGCTACGACCAATATTATATGACATTCAAACAATTTAATTTCTGAAATAAATAGCCACATGTCTTCTCTTTATGTCACAGTGGCTGTAGTAGTCACTAAATTTGACAGTTAAGCTACACAATTTTTTTTTGACAAGCAGTTTTTTTCCTCCAAAAATTTT